ACATGAAATTCTCTTGAAAACAGAAGGTAATTTTTGATTTGATAGTGATGAAATTCCCTGCCTTCTATGGATCCCGTAGGCACATTACCGTGTTTACGAAAGCCTGGATAATGATACTGCCCTGAGACAGATAAATTCAGTTTATACCCTCATGCCTATTTTTAAGATCCATTCCAACATTATCATCTCACTCACGCCTAAGTCCACAAATTGCTAACTTGATTTTAGGTTTTCCGACTACATTCTGTACGCACTGTTAACTGTCATCTCGTTAGTAACAAGGCTGCAAAGATTGAATAACAACCGGAGATACTACATGCGTTCTATGAGTCTACATTCTGAATACTCTTAGCTGACATAAGAAGTGTACTAAGTAGGATTTGAGGTTTTCACGGCGGTGAGTTTGAAGATGACTGTGTTCTGGGTTGAGTCTGGCAGAAGTCTACCGACGTTTCAGAGGGTGATTATCGCCCTGATTCTGGAGACAGCAATTAATTCTAAAACGTCAGTAAATTTCTATCAAATTACAGGCGCAACAACTCAGAAGACAACCATCTTTGCATTTTAAAAGAATCAGATATGGTTAAGTGGAATTTATTTATCTGACTGGGGATAGGATCCAGTCGTGAGTTCTTGCTAACATAATGATTTTACTGACGAGATGAGGGACTATTAGCTTCTTAGAAGAATTCTACTTCCCTGAGTTGGCAATTATATCTCTACGATTTTGTCGCCACGTACTGGTTCGCGGTACTGGTAAAGACGGAGTCTAAAGTAATATTTAAAACTGAAATTTTCACTAAAGTACGAAATAATTTGCAATGGGCTATAGATTATACTAGTTATTAGACAGTACGTTAGAAATGTGCACTACATACGCTTTCATTACACGTTATAAGCTACGTATGTTCATGGTAAACAAAAGATGGAGGCAGTATGTTCCTCTGAAATGTTGGTACCCAACCACAAGTGTACATTGTGTCACCACCCAGAAGACCAACATCAGAGTCTTCACCGTCGTGAAAACCTCGGATCTCTAGAAACTGCGTAGTTCACAGAAGCATCGCTACGCAGGTCACATTCTCCGAGAAGAGACTGTCAAAATGGAAATGACATGGTTTGATGAGAAATGGAGGGTTATGCGATGTCGGAGCATCATCCTGTAACAACAAGATGACCTCAAGTTTACACGGATTGTCCTGTCGATGCGTAGCCTTGGAAACTTACGCTGACGTCAATAGCTCTATCTCTCTCTTCCTCACCATCTTGGGACCCGGGATCTCGTGTAAGTCATGGTATTAGTACGGGCGAGACACGGTTACGCAGAGAACTGAAGCTACCGCTTGTCACTGAGCTTCGTAATGCGTTCATCTCTTCAAGAGGAATCCAATGTTAGTTTACAGAATCCGTTTGTTGAAAGGAATTTTAATTATAATGCTAGATACAACTTCTATGCGAACGAAAAGTTATTTTAATCCGCTTTTGCTTATTCGTTTGCTAACAGTAATTTGAAATTTGAATTATAAATAAGGGACCAATAGAATGAGATTATGTTATTGCATACTGAAACAATTCCAGAATGAACAAAGACCTATTGTATAAGTATATATTTTTTTAAATAATGCCTACTTTTTAAAGAAGGTGGAATGCAACGATATACGAAAATACTGTTAAAACGCTGCTAGTGATTATAACTATTAAATAAACACCTCACCTTTTAGTTACAGCTTACATTTTCGGTTGTTTCTTAAATACATTATTGAAAGACAATTAGCTCAAAACATTAGCTGGAAAGCTTGAAGGGAAAATACAGCTTGAATGATCTCGGCGTAGATCGGAGGACAATATGCAAATGGACGTTGGAGCAATATAACGTAAGGGCGTGGACTAGATTAATCTGACTCACGAAAGGATCAGAGGCGGGCCCTTGTGAAACCGCTAATGAATATTCGGTTTCCTGAACACTCGGCTTTAATCCATAGACTGAGTTAAACTAAAATAAATGTATTGTAACCGCAAATAAAGTCTCCGAAAGATTCCGACACACGTATGTATATGTTATTTAAAGTTAAATATTTGATTAACAAAGCAAATTATGCGATAATTTTAAATATTTTCAGATATTGTATTATTACTAATCGGTTACCTAATTCTACACATTATCATAAAACACTACAAAATAATTAATAGATTAGAATAACTGTGTCTATGTTGGAGATGGAGACGGTATGTTCCTCAGAAAAGTTGATGGCTACCGACAAGTCCAAACAGCGTCACAACCCACAAGAACAACATCGACGGTCAACTAATTGGCTCAACTGCAATTATTGTAGAAAATATTTAAGTCTAAAAAACACAATTGCAGCCTCATTTATATTCATCGTTAAGAATTTGTAATTTTATTTGAATCTTTCATTAATCCTGGTATAAAAATACTGTGAAATTTATTTTAAGGAAAATGAGCTAACAGAAATTTAAAAATTTATCCTACGGCTAAATTATTCTTTCCAAACAAAATGGAAATGAGGTTTTACTTTGCCCAAGCTTCTGGTGTTCTTGTTTTCAGTTGTCAGGCAAAAAGGGTGGAAAATAAATATATCACAAATGGAGTCTCCGACTTTTCTGAGGATATAAACCTGGTTTCTGAAGAGCGAAGAGGGATTATAAAATTATAGTCGTCTCTGCGACATTAAGGATGTGATGTGATTTTCTGGGTTGTGATGCTGTACAGTCTTGAACCACTTCAAAGACAAACAGTTAAGGAACAATCATATCAGGCCCGTAATTATGCGTTGTAAATTAAGTTTTCGTAATGCCATCTCTAGAAAATCAAATAAGGTAAACATGGTAATACCTCGTAGTAGTAATGTTAATATATGTTTTATTTTATTTCAGTTAAGCTGGAATTACTTACGTTTTTCGGATATTTCAATTCGGAAAATACAGATTTGTCTAAGGTCTGAGGTACACACATAACGCAATTTCAAAGCTGACAAAAACAAAGACGTGAACAAACAGACCCAGAGAAGGTTGACAGAGTCTGCTACGTTATGTGATTAAAAATTTTAATTTGTTATCTGTTAGAGAATCGGATTTAATTACTGCAACCTCGTAATAAGTTTTCCTCGCAGAATTCAAATCTGAACAAAAAGAGCAGAATTACGTCAATCACGTGGTAGGAAAAGTTTGTTAAAGTTTGAAGGCAAAATCAAAGCACTGACAGGAATATTTTTACGTTCACACTGCCACCTAACTCAGAAAGTTGCAACTTCACGGGGGCAGAGTTTCTACAAGTTTGCGTTTAAACCGGCGTTTTGGATAACAGCGTTTTTAATTGAACTTCAACCATAAACTGTTTAATTGTATTTCTTGTTTCAGCTTTCGAACGTCGTGTAACACTGGGAATCGTTACAAAATAAATCATTATAAAATAACTACGAAACTGTATTTTGTTTCTAACATGCTTGACTGTATGAATTTGACGTTCGTGCGATTCGGAAACATCTGACATTAAATTCTGATGATTGCGACTCTGGTAGTAAGAAATGCCTATGGCGGGCGTCTGGAGTCAGACAATCGGTTTTGTGTTGTGTTTAGCAGGCGAAATTTTGCTTTATTCTGTTGAAAATTCTAAGTTGCGAAGCTTCCACAAATAAAAATTCTTGTTCAGAAGGTAATAATCGTTCAGATAGTCAAAACGTTTCTTGAGTTTTATGAAAACGATCTCTTCGTCCTTATGATGGAGGCAGTAAGGACCTCTGAAACGTCTGTAAACTTCTACCAGGCTACACGGCGCATCAACCCAGAAGAGAGCCATCTTTAAACTCACAGCCTTGAAAACACCCAAATCCAACCGGAACAGAGTCGAAACGGAATTTTCCACTCAATCTTTGTTATTTAAACGGAGCTCCAACATACGAGCCCAATACTTAGAGAACTATTTGGAATTCTACGACCCCAAATTAAACTGCATCTTTCAATTCTCGTCACATTTTCCTTGCTCGTATCTGTTAAGTGCGTGAGGTTTAGCACAGAAGCGCAGCCTATAATAATTCTGTACCTCTTAATTGATGGGTATCACAAAGCTGTCGTCCTGGTACTAATAAAATACTCAGCGAAAACTGTGACCTGTGTTACATAACCTCAAACAATTGGCTCTAATCTCCCATAACAGAGGTATCAACGCAGGTCATGAAAAGCCCGCCAATAACGGGGACAGAGCGTCGAAGTGGAGAATAGAACTATGAACAACTCACTTGGTGGGAATGTTTGTGTAAAAATGTACCTGTCAAAAACAGTCATGCAGGCATACATAATTCCTGATAATTTAGCAGCAGTTATAAAACACGATTTATTCTAAATGCTGAGGCACGTGTGTCCGTCCGTCTGTCTGCCCGTCACACTATCCATCGTGTGATTAATTTACGGACTCTAATATTATAGACCCCATATTTGTTTAAAATAAGCACGTCCGTCAAGCCACTGAAGGGCACTCCGCGAACTTTATAACCTGCTCTAAGGGTTCTCAACCACCTCCACTTCTAGGGCCTCATTCAAACCTGCTTGTGGACTGGCGGCTCGCTAGGTTATCAACAGAATTTATTTAAACTTCAAGCAATTTATTAGAACGGCTATTAAATTACTATAGGAACATTTTCATATATTACTCGACATTTAGTTTTCACAGTGATCTTACACTGTTTTTATTGAGCTGTTGTTATAATTCTTAACATTCCCCAGTTAAGATACACAAGATAGTGTAATTGCGTCATATTGTGAATATTCTAACAATTATTTATTTTAATCCGTCTTATCACAATATTTAAAATTTCTTATAATTAAGATAATAAAATATCATTGATGTTCCATATCGATTGATCGATTTACATTTTGGAACATTTACATTTACATTTATGTTCCAAAATGTAAATCGATCAATCGATATGGAACATCAATGATATTTTATTATCTTAATTATAAGAAATTTTAAATATTGTGATAAGACGGATTAAAATAAATAATTGTTAGAATATTCACAATATGACGCAATTACACTATCTTATAATTGTGATTGTGTGATCAGTGAGTACCTCTGAAACGTCGGTCATTCCAGATTACATCGCGCAACGTCCGAGAAAGCGACTATGTTCATGATCTTTTTTTCTCTTTTGTCAAGTGTGTCCGCAGTGGGCTTCCTGCGAGAGCCGGCCGACATGTCAGAACGTGTCCTGTGACCCAGAAGAGGCCTGTGTTCTGAGACAGGTGACCTGCTTTAGGGCTCCGTGCTACCCGATACCCGAGTGCGTGCCCAAAACACAGGGTGTGTATCAACTGACGAAAATGACTTTACCGAGCTTGCAGCAGCCTCGTTTGAGACACTGTTCTTTCTCTTGCATATATGCGTGTTTGTTTGTTTGTATACACGTATATAGCTTGCATCACAAGCGTTGAGCAGGTGGTAGTGAAAATGGTAACAGAACTGACAGTCTCTCTTTGTTTGGCTTGTTTCCCCAGTTCCAGTCTGCGACAAGGACTGCCCGCCTCAACAGCACTGTGAACTTACGCAGATAATTTCTTACAACAGCTACATATACATTCCTTTTTGCTTCCAAGAAATGTAGACGTCTTAGGAAGGAGACACATTCAACTACCACAGACCCATCTTAAGCGGAACTAATTCAAGTTAAATAAGCAAAGTCTTAATCAAACTTATCTCAATTTTAAAGCATGTATAAAGGAAATATTTAGAATAAAGCCAATATATAAACTTCCTTTCCGTATAGACGTATTTACGTCAAATTCTCCGGAACCATGGTTCCACTGACAACTTTTTTAACATTTATACCAAGACCATAGCTGTGAACACACATTAGGATCAAAGGAACTTGCAATGTATGGTAAGTTTCAAATGAATTTTGTCCTCAACCTTTGGATCAAAATTTGGAATAATCTATATGAATGGCAGCATATATTTTTATTTACTTTTGAGTCTGACTGTACTGTACCCTGTTTGCCTTATGAATGCTGTGTTGATCTTTAGTTCATTTTGTTGCCGCAGTTCACTTTAGGACAATAGCCACTTTTAACCACGATTTACATTTTGGAACATCCTTTACACAACATGTTTCAGTTTTTATAAAACCATCTTCAGGTGTAAAAGATTTACAAACTTAAAAGTTCCAAAATGTAAATCGATCAATCGATATGGAACATCAATGATATTTTATTATCTTAATTATAAGAAATTTTAAATATTGTGATAAGACGGATTAAAATAAATAATTGTTAAGATACACACTAGTTCTTGATCTGAAGTTCATCAAGCTGCAGTTGGGTAGTATTGCCAAAATACTGACTATGTTAGCAAATCGTGTTTTCTGATACCACGTAACTGCATAATATGCTCTTGGTCGTTTACTAGGATGATAAAATCAAGGGCGATGAAATGGGCGGGTCACATATCTCTTATTAAAGAAATCATTAAGACGAACAAAGTCCTGAAAGAAGAGATTACTTAGAAGACCTGGGCGTATATACGAGAACTATTAATAACCTTATCTTAAAATATCGGATGTGCGATTTAGAATGTATTCGTGGAGGCCTGTGGAGCGGGATGTTGACCACGGTAGTGACCTTGAGGACCCACGTGACTAGCTGAGCATACTGTTACAGCTTCTGAAGGACTACTCCATGTAGTTAAACTAAACTCCCTTATGAACCTAATTATTAAGCATTTTGTGGAATTCTCCTGTTAAACTGCAAATTTCGAGTCCCAACATCAACACAGAAAACACTATCGTTAGGTTGACACCCCGACTATACAACAATTTTTTATTACAGTCTCAATGTTTAAGATCCACTTCACATTTCGGCCTTAACTGGTCATCTTCAGATGATTCTCTTGTCAACTTAACTATCAACACGCAACAGGAAGCATCCCTTAAAATTGGGCAACGTGTCACCGGCCTTCTAGGACAGATCATTATGAAGAGACGCAGCAGCGCCTTGCCATGCTCAGCTGTGCTCGCAACCATGTAATAAGCCCTGTCACAAATGGCTACTTCCTCATCTTGTTTCTCTTACCCACATTTTTATTTTCATTCTTCCTAGCTCCTTTTCACCCGTCCCATTCACTCTTTATCCTATTGTTCTTGCGTTATAAACTCTGTAGCAATTTATGTAACTCTTATTCCGATATTCCTCTTTGAGCCATTGTCCTTCTATTGTGTCACATGCTTTATTATTATCCTTCGCAAGTGTTTTCCTTCACAGTTTCGTTGGACTTTTTTCGTATGACTTAAATCTCACATCTAACTCCACAAAGCGAGTCCTTAAAAAAAATCGCTCCTTTCATTGAAGTGAAAGTTTCACCACTGAGTTCGCATGAATCCCCAGAGTTCTCTATCCTCACGACCTACTTCCTCAACATTCATTCTATGTTATTTCCCCATCTGCGAGCGCCTAGATTTAAGTAATACCTTCATTCAGGTCTTCGTTCGTAATGCTGCATCTGCGCACGTTTCATTTCTCCCATGCATGCTACATGCCCCTCCCATTTCATCCTTCTCAATCTGATGACGTTAAACATGCCACTTATTCTTTCTTATTAAATACTATTATAATGTCTACAGAATTTCTTCACACTTTAAACGTTTACACCATAGTGGTAACTATGTGTACCACCTGCATTAACATTCAATAACTCTTCATTTTGTCAAAAAATATATTTGTGTGTTCGGTACAACTAAGAATATGCAGCGATTATTTCTCTAAACAAAATTAAGTAACATCAGGAACTAATTTTTTGAATATTACTTACGATGAGATTCGGCTTCAAAGAGTTCATTTAACTTAGGAAAGTTAGCTCTTCTCTTTTGTGAATTCGATCTCGCATGCTCCGACTTAGAAAAATTCAATAAAAACATTAAGACGCGTTTACACACAAAGACAAGGAATTGAATGTAACGTCCAACTGGATAAAATGCATCAATTTCTCTTCTGATTATTTTAACAGGTCCAATTTTAACCTTCCGCAGCGCATTCCAGTATTTACACAATATCATCTTCATCAAAAGTCTACTTTAGACGAGGAACAGACAGTATCGTGACTGCGTTTATTTTATCTTTTAATCTATTATACATCAGTCGTTTAGCTAAAATGTGTGATCTGTACTATTTCAACCGCACCAACCAAGCGCACATCCTATTGTTGGCGTTAATCCTATTAGTGGTAAAAAAAGTGTTACGTTAAAATACGCCGCGTTATTTCTAACACAAGTAAGGACATACAGGATGAAAAAGCGGGTGACACAGACCAGAATCCGCTCCAGAGCTTAGCACAGCACAAAAATAAACTGCACCTAATAATTCACTACTGTCTGTGTATTCCCATCAACCACATTGCTAAGATACTGTGTATATGTATTCTCTTTTACGACATTATTTTCATCGTGCAAAAGTCTCGTAGAATAATACTAACGTTTCAGAGGTCCTTGCTGTCTCCATCATCGGGGAGATGAGTCATCGCTCTGATAATGAAGGCGTGGTTGGTAAACATCTACCAGAGTACGCAACGACTTAAAAGAGTGTTATCCTTGTACTCACCTCAAGTTATGAACATTCTAGTTCATGGTTTATATTGCCTCCAAAATACGTCTTATTTAGACACGTGAGTTTCCGGATGTCATTGCCAAAAGATGCCATATTTAGGGAAAGTGAGCCTCGGGGTTCTACCGGACACGACGTTGCAAAACCGACGCTGAGAATCGCGGCGGCTAACGTCGCGATGCCAAATTCAAAATGTAAATTAAACCAACAAGTCTTGTTACGCCATGCTACACGATCTGGCAATCCGACGCCGAGCGTCATGATACAGAGAGAAGATTGGGGATATAGCAAAGCTAAACCTCCTGATCCATACAATATTAAGCAAACCGACGCCGAGCGAAGCCTCGAAAAATGTCACGATGCAGAGCGCCAAGAGGTGGATAATGGGCAGCATATCTAGCCTAATCCTACCGATAACACAGAATGATCAATAAATAATGATTTTGATGACTTTAAGTGATATGGAAGGAAGTGGTTATAGCATAATTGAAGGTGCAACCACGGTACTTGCTTGGAGTGACTGAGGGAAACCACGAAAAACTCACTCAGGATACCCGGTTTTCGGGAAGAGATTTTCGCCCGCGACCTCCAGAGAACGAGGCAGGAGTGCTAACCAGTAAATATATACCCTGTCTTTTCCAGAACTGCAGACAGATGAAGTTGAAAGGCTTTTAACGTGTTTTTCTTTCGCAGTTCTTACAGCTAAACATCCTTTCTGTTCAAACGCTCTCGTAAATAAATCACTTCAGTAAATAAACATATAAATCTGCCTATGTCTCCAGTAAACCTACAGCAGCATTCAGTTTAAGGAGACGCCCACCTGAAGCGCAAATAAGGGCAGCTGACTGCGCTCGAACCATTCATACGTTTAAATCAGCAGAAAAGGCATTTCTTCAACCCAGTGGCCCTTTGCTCGGAAAATACTCTTAGTTCCTCTGTGACAGACAGACAGTTCTCCAAACTAGGCCTTTATTATCCCAACATTTTTCGTCCGGATTCCTCTACTTTCGTGATTCCTGCATCAATATTTCACAGTCCTCGGAATGATTTTTATGAAAAGCATATCATCCGTATGTAGTTTCTGATATTCCCATAGACGCCAAGCCAACAAATGAACCTATCTTTGAAATTTAATTGTCGCTCAATTCGTCAAGAAATCACACATCGTTTTATACAATCCTAAGGTTCATCATCGTGTTTACAAGAATCCACCACTGAAGTACATCGTGATCCAGATAAATTCAGTCCACCCTCTCCAACCTTAATAATTTAAGATCCGCATTAATAATATTGTAATGATTTTTTTTATTCGGTTATGATTTATTCAAGGAAGTGTTAACTACTCAGACTGTAAACATAACATGATTTATGAATTCTAAAGAATATAGAAGAAGCCATCCTGGCTTAATTTAATGCATTACTCAGAAATTTTCTGAAAGGACTGAGGAATCCTACGAAGAAACTCAGTCACGATACCTGGTCTCCAGGCCCGAAATTTGAGCCCGAGACCTCGCTAATTCCAAACACGCTTCAGAAGGAATTATGAAATCGAACATTTACTTTTCCTGTTACACTTCCGAATAATTGGCAGAATACTTCAAGTAAGACACCGCTTGGAATTTATAGGCGTAGCGTAGCTTAAAAAGCATCATCTACTCCATCTGTTCAATCTGAGTAGTGGCAAATTTTTTTTGTAAACAATAAGACAATGTTCATACAAATGTAACTCAATTACGAAACCATAAAAATTCTATCCCTGGCAAATTAGAGACCAGACTGTTCACAATAAATAGATAATGCCTTATCTGAGCT